TGTGTTGTAGCTAGCTTCCGTGGCTTGATGTCAGTGGCCTCTATCTCCTCCTTTGGCCAGCTTATTATGACAGCGGGGCTGATGGTTGCTCCATTTCGTAGTTGGTATCTGTAACCACTTTTGGTTATGATCTGGCTGAGGGGGTTCAGCCCTATGCAGAACAGCAGTGTAGACAGAGTATCTCCTTGGTAGATACCGCACTTGATGTTGACTTGTGCAATTGGCTTGAAGTTGGCCTCTAGGGTTGTTTTCCACATTCCCATTGAGTTCTTGATGAAGGCTCTTAGAGTCCTGTCGATGTTGTACAGTTCCAAGCATTCCAGGATCCATGTGTGAGGCATTGAGTCATAGGCTTTCTTGTAGTCAGTCCAGGCAGTGCACAGGTTGGTGTGCCTAGTCTTGCAGTCTCGAGTGACTACTTTATCAACCAGTAGCTGGTGCTTTGCTCCTCTGGTGTTACTACCAATTCCTTCTTTATCTGATACTAGGAGGAGATTGTTGGTGACTTTCACTAGTACAGTTTCTGTACTATGATTCCACCTTTAGATAAAGCTAGGTTCATAGTTCAGAAACCATCAGTGATTTATTAAAATGGCATTCACTGAATGGTAAAGTAGATTTATTAATTTCAATGTTGTGAAGAAATGACCTCACTGTTGTGAGCATCTGCAGCTGCAGCATGACCCCCCAGTAGGGAGCAAACAGCAAAACGAGTGAGGACAGGGTTAATGAACGCCACAGGGCAGTTACAGCAAAGGTTTAGGTTTGATAGTTCATATTGTAGTTAGTGTCAGATTTTCTGGTAAATGGACTGTAACAACAATTAACTTGACCCGTTGTGGTTAGAAAAAGTTTGATTCTTAACTATTACACAGGTTTTTCCAAAAAAGAATTTAAAGTTGTTTTGCTGCTGTAGTGCATGAAATTAAAATACATGTTTTGATGCTAACAAACTATACACACACACACACACACATCCCCCAATGTTCCTATTACCACAGGGACCACTTGTGCCTTCACCTTCCACATCTTTTCTAGCTCTTCTTTCAGCCCTTGGTATTTCTCAAGCTTCTCGTGTTCCTTCTTCCTGATGTTGCTATCGCTTGGCATTGCTACATCTATCACTACGGCCTTCTTCTTCTGTTTGTCCACCACTACTATGTCCGGTTGTGCAGAGGCAGGTTATTGGGTGGTAGTTTGATGGTACTGCTCTCTTCTGAGGGTCCTTGAGGATCAGGACTGTACGGCCTTCAGTTAACCACTCAGGGTGGGTTCCATCTATTAGTAGCTGGTTCATTTGTCCCACCAGGCGCTCATGGAGTGAAGTTAGCTTCATTAACCAGTAGGCGTGGATCATGTCAGGGCCTGATGCTGTCCAGCATTTCATACTTGCAACCCGCTCTTGAAGGTCTGCCATTGTGATGATTACTGGGTCTTGTGCAGGGAGGTTGCTGTGGTCTGCTCTTAGGTCCACCAGCCAGCCACTGGGGCTTAGCCACTGGGCATTGTTGTTATGTGATGCCTCCTTCTCCCATATGCTCTTCCAGAACTGTTCAGTCTCCAGCCTTGGTGGGTCTGCCCTCATGTTATTACCCTGCCACTGAGAGTTCACCTTGGATGGCTCAGTGGAGAACATTCGGTTTATTCTCCTGACTTCAACTTCTCTGGTGTACCTCTTCAGTTGTGTGGTCAGGGCTGTGAGCCTTTGCTTGGCAGTCTCTAAGGCCTCAGGTATGGACAGTGAGTTGTATTCCTTAGGTACCCCTTTCTTCATCACGCCTTTCTGCAATTCTGATAGCTGGCTAACTTTTCTTCGTGCTGCCTTGATCTTGGTCTCCAACCTCCTTCTCCATGGAGGATACTGCTCTTTATGGCCTTTGTTGAACTTATAGCCAAGCATCTCAAGGATCACGGTTGCTGTGGTGTATATGAGCTTGTTGGTCTCAGTGGTGGTCGTAGTAGGGATTGTTCTTAGTGCTGCATTCACATCATCCAGTAGACTTTCAGAACGCACTTCACTTAATCTTGGTAACCGGCCACGGGAGTTCCAGGTGCCCATATTGCTCATGATCTTCAGTCTCAGGTCAGCAGTCCTTGAATCAAGCTTGTCCAGGCCTGTTATTGGGGCTTGGTACCCAATTGTGGGGGTGATGAAGATGATATCTCCCCCCTGACCTGTTGTCCTGGCTCCCCTTTGCTGGAGCATTTGTGGTGTACCTCCTGCAAGTTCTCCCACTTAGAAATCATGGAGGGGTCTGAAATTCACATTGTAGGTGCATTCCCACTCTGAGACAGATTTTAAAAAATTCAGGAAATCACATTGTATGATTTTTAAAAAATTTATTTGTCTTGCACTGCTGAACATAAGTATTTGAACACCTGAGAAAATCAGTGTTAATATTTGGTACAGAAACCTTTGCAATTACAGAGGTCAGACGTTTTCTGTAGGTCTTGACCAGGTTTGCACACTGAAGTGGTCAAATTGGTGATAAGGATATGGTCAAGATTATGATAGTGCTGCAGTACAATACACGACATTCTGTTTCACTGCTTTATTCTCACTAATGTGCCACTTCCTCCCTTCATTCACTCTGCTTTGACCACTGCTGTGCTGTCTCTCTCTTTCTCTCTCCCTCTCTAACTCTCATATGTTTTGGGTAGGCAGTGAAATGTATGCACAAATATAGAAAGAATATAACATCACTAGCTAGTACAAAGTTTATTTTGAATGGGTAGAGAACAGATTTGGTTTACAGCATGAGCTAATGCAAAATGGCTGGAAATTTGGCTGACATAGAAATCAAAGGACTGTCATCAAGGTATACAGAGATAAAGCTATTCAGCATATCCCCAATACATCATTGACCAGATTCTGGAACACCACAGGGGTGTCCAAAGGGCCGGACAGTTTCTTTGAATGCGATCTTCGACTCATCTCCCTCCCTTATACGCACCAGGTGATAGGCGTTCCGTAAGTCCAATTTGGTAAAAAGCTGGGTGCCATGTAGCAGTTCAAAGGCGGAGGAGATGAGTGGTAGCGGGTAACGATTCTTGATGGTGATCTTATTTAGACCTCAATAGTTGATGCATGGACGTAGTCCTCTGTCTTTTTTCCCCATGAAGAAGAACCCTGCCCCTGCAGGTGATGGGGAATCAAGCCGGCCTTCTGGGCCTCTGCGATGTACATGGACATGGCCTGGCATTCAGGAGGTGAGAGGGAAAACAACTGGCCCCTAGGCGGGGTAGTACCAGGCAGCAGGTTGATGGAACAGTCATACAGCCGGTGAGGTGGTAATGTGGTGGCTCAGATCTTGCTAAAAACCTGTTTGAGGTCTAAACACTCAGGGGACACCTTGGATAAGTCAGGAAACAAGTCTGGTTCTGGTTCTTCCTTTGTCTCCTGGGCAGTAGCCGACTGTAGACAGTGGGTAGCACACTGCGGTGACCATTTGACTACCTTCCCCGTGGCCCAGGTGATCTTGGCTCAGTGTTTAGCCAGCCAAGGAAATCCCAGTACCACTGGGTGATGTTGAGATTACATCACCAGAAAGTCTGTTGTCTCTTTGTGATTGTCAATAGAGGTGTGTAGCTAGTAATATGTTGAAGGAGCTTATTATTGAGGGAATGTATTAAGAGGGGATTGCTCATGGGTTTGCTGGGGATCTGATGATGGTGAAGGAATGCAGGGTCTATGAAGCTGGTGTCAGAACCAGAGTCAATGAAGACCGGGACCAGAATGATCTTGGTGCCATATGAGAGCTGGGCCATGATGACGGGACGGTAGATGTGTTCGTGATTGTACGGCTCAGCAACGTCCTCCCCATCCTGCTGAGCCTCTGTCTTTTACTGGGCAGACCAGTGCCCGGTTGCCGGGTCCTCTGCAGTATATACATAAATTCATTCTGTACCTACGCTCTCTCTCTCTCTTCCAGGTTGAGTCAGGAGTGACCCAGTTGCATAGGTTCAGGAGGCTCTGTTGAAGTTGGGACAAAATCATGGGAGAGGCACCTGACGTCTCCATTCAGACTGTCTTTCTCTATACCGACCATCAATTCTGGTTACCAGATCCATGAATGCTCAGAGACGTCTGGGCCGGTTATACGCAGTGAGTGCACTTTTATTCTATCTGATAGTCCACCATAGAATGCATCTATAAGTGTGGGCTCATTCCAGTCTGAATCGGTGGCAGCGGTGTGAAAGTCTATTATGTAATCCACCGCGGTTCTGGTTCCTTGAGTTAAAGTAAGCAGAGAGGGAGAGGTAGCAGTAGTGTGGCTGGGTGGGTCTAAAAAAAACTCATTAGTTCAGCCCTAAACCTCTGAAACGTAGCACAACAGTCTGATCTATTTGTCCATTCAGCTGTGCCCCACCGGCGTGCCCGACCTGTCAGCAACGACAGAGTGTAAACTACTTTAGATCGCTGAGTGGGGAAAACTGAAGGCTGAGTTTCAAACTGGATCTCACACTGGGTTAGAAGGAGCGGCTGTACCCGCTCTCTCCTCCATACCGCTCCGGGGGCGGGATCCTGGGTTCATGGTAACCCAGAGGAGGGACTGGAGTTTGGACCGGAACCACCGCGGTGGCACCCCAAATCTGCTCACTGTGAGTCAAACCATGGACTGTAGATTGTATGGTCCCCAGCGCAGCCTCATGAGCAGACAGAGCCTGTTCCATGCGCCCCTGCCATTCACGGAGATCGCTACTGGCTGGGTTTATTTTTGGCCAGATTGTACTGTCAAGAAACTGTGTGTGAAGCTCCAGTGAATGCGGAGATGTGAACTCAATTAAAAAGCCAGTAGTTTGAGGCAGTAAAGTAGAGTTTATTGTTGTCCTCGGGGAGATCCGGTGTGAGAGAAACAGAGGCAGACTGGAGCAGTAAGCAGAACTGAGGGATTAATACTTGCTTCAGTCTACGATCGAGGTTCACAGCAGGGCAACAAGGAGGGCAAGGCAGAATCTCTGGTCGGTAGTGCTGGCAGGGTCTCGATAACAGAAAAGCAGTCCAATAGGAAGGATGAGGCAGAACCATTGGTCGATAGTCCAGGCAGGTTCTCGATAACAGAATAGGCAGGTAGTGATGGCCATCTGACACCAAGGCCTCGATACATGATTCGAGCTCAGAGAGGGATCTTCTGCGAACCACTGCCCAAGCACGCCTTATCCCACCTACTACATTACATACGTTCATAGACTCGACTGACTGAGCAATCAATCTTTACAAACGTTTTCACATCATTCACACAAAGCCTAGTTACGCCTATCACATAATTCAGGCATTGTTCTGCTGCATACTATTTTGCCACCAGATGGCACTAAACCGAACCTTTGAATGAATGAACCAATACTCGATACAAATGATGAAGTGGTTTGATACAGGTGTCATGGTGTCAACTGGACATCACTATAGGCAGGCACTAGGAAAGAACTTGCTGTAGAGTCTAGGCAAGGCATAGAACTTCCCACAAGTTCAATGCCCTGTGGGAAGCTGCTAAATAGTGTTGTCAACAGGTGTGGGTGATTGAGGAGCAGGTGAAACCAATGTGCGTAATGAGGTGAAGTTACCAGCAGTCAGGGTGAGCTGGAGACAGGAAATAGTGTCAGAATAAAAGCATGATACTGGAAGTGGACAGGGCAGAATCATGACACATACTATAAGAAGACAGCTGTACTGCCACTGTAAGCAGCATTTGAAAAGACTATGTAGTTTTCTACAACAGCAATCTTTAGCATAACAGCCCTGCTTCATTAACCTTTTTGTCTCTAAACAGTAGTGATGAATAGACCAGGTTGTGTCAGTTATGTTGTTTACATGAAGCAGGTAGGAATAGGTTTGCCAGAGAAGACCCACTGTGTTTACGACCTCATTGGATTTCATATGGTGATGCATTTGATATAACTCTGTATTTATACATGTGACAACATTGTTTTTAACCTGCCAGCTCAGCAGTATATACCTGTGGTGATATATGGGCTATTAGGGAAAGTGTGGATAAGTGTGGGTTTTTGTCAGTAGGTGTTAGTTGTTTATGTTGTGATCAGAGTTCTTTGTCTGGTTACCATATGAATATAATGTTAGAGAATAAGAGGAACAAAGAGAGACCAATACACACACACACACACAAAAAAAAAAAAGCCATAGATGACACCAACCCTAAAAATTTGTCAATTTATACTCTGCTTTTTAGAATGGTGGATCTTAATACTTTTCACTTATTGGAATTTGATGAATAAATCTAAATATATAATGTGAAAATAACAAGGATGGAAACTTTTCATGCAAAAAAATGAAACAATATTAAATATATTGGCTTAAGTATCTGAAAAGCTTATTTAAACTTTGCTCTATTTTATGTATGAATGACTTTTAATAAATTCACTGTGTCACAAGATTGGTCTATTAATTAATCAGTCCATCACTTTGGGCCAGGCTGAAATCCACCTAATAAATGTATGAAAATCCATCTAACAAATACTGTAGATTGGCTTAGATGGACTTTCATTATGTTATACAATCATGTTCCCCAATCTTACTGACTTTAGTTTTCAACTAATGCCACCAAGATGTTGACATGTTTCTGTTTTTAATAGAATGTTTCAGCAACTATTGGAAGGACTGTCATGACATTTAGTACACACATGTTCCCCACAGTATGAATCCTAACAATTTTGTTGATCCTTCAATGAACTCATTTGTTGACCTTGATTATTTTGTTGTGGCTACCTACCTTCCATGTGTTTTGGGATTGGCACCAAACAGGGGGTTGTGCTCTTAGGTAGGCTCCACTGTAGGGATGCTGAGAACGAGAATGATGAATGGTGGTGCTAGGATGAGGGGGGTGGGACTGAGGCCCGTTACGTGGATGTGGTCCAGAATCGTATGAACCCTGTCCGTCATCTCTCTGACGAATCACCCACAGGTTGTCTGGACCAGAGCACAACTGGAACATTTATAACAACCTGAAAATGATAAATTAACCAATTATGCAATGAAATTCATATATTGTCCTTCTTAAATCATAATTTATTCCAGAATTTCTGACTGAATATCTTGTTAGGTAGAGGAAAACAAGCAGGCAGAAGAAAGTGGCACGTGTGGCTGTGTGTGTGTGCACGCGCAATTTCCAGTTTATATTTATTACTAAAAAGCTGTGGTCCACCAGTTACTGGAGACAGCTAGGGACCAGAACGGCTTACGGTGGTTAGTGCAGATTGAATAGGTGCTAATCTTCAAAAGACAGTTACTTATAAAAACACTGAAGGAAAACTTGGCAGATTTCAAACTACATATGCCACATTTATTAATGTTGTGTAGCCATCTAAAGCAGAAACTGCATGCAAGTAACATACTTAATATTGATGGGCACACAAAGATATAACAGTATCTGTACTGACTTTGCCTTAACTTCATATTTAAGAATTGAAAATGTATCCACTTTCCCAGAGGATTCCCTCAAATCTGTTCTGTGGGTTTGTTTGTAAAATGAATAAATGGTTCTTGGTTTCATTAGTAGGAGTTTAATTTTATGACATTTTAGCATTTCTATCATGGAGTAATTGGATGAAAAAACTTGATTATTGGTTTGACTGAAGCAACAACAAGCAGCAAGTCCCAAGTCAAAGCATAGATGCAGTGGGCTAAAGAGATGGTCAGAAAGGGAAGTCTAAAGGTCAATACACAGAAAACACAGTCGGAATCGAGAGGGCTAGGCGAAACTCGGTGGTCAAAGAGTAATCCGTGGTCAGAGCTGGAATAACAGGTGCAAGAAAAATGCTGGAAAGTCTGAACAGGAGTTAGAACAATCTGGCAGCTTCTTGGTGTGGGGAAGCTGCCTATATGCTGTTGTAACCGGGTGTGAGTGATGAGAAGCAGGTGAAACCAATGTGGATGATGAGATAAAGTTCCCGGGAGTCAGGGTGAGCTGGGGAAAGGAAGTAGTGTCAAAATAAAAGCATGAGACTGGAAGCAGGTGAGACAGAAGCATGACAAGAAGTAAATCTGATGCACAAATGAGGCTCATGACTGACATTAGATTAAATAACAATAGAAAATACATTATACCTATGCACATGTTTATTGCATGTATCACATGGAGCCCTTTGCTGGGTGCTTTTAATTGACTAGAGAAATTCAATTGATGGAAAGGAAAGGTCTGTACTGATTATCAGTGGTGCCATGATACAAATTAAAACATGCCACTTCATTTTTTTTTTTTTTTGTTGTAGGCTGAAACAAAGGTGATGGGCTACAGCTGCAGAAACCTGCCCAGAAGTGGGTTAGATGGGGAGAAGCCAGCAATAACTGATGGTCCTAACTGGAGCCAGGTTTGAATGTAACTAAGTACTTCATGTCTAAATTACAAGATTTGAGTGCAAATTAGCTGTCACTGCCACTTGAGCATTAATGGAGAATATATGCAAAATAGAAGACTGAACATAAAGGTAGGTGAGAAAGTGGAAAAATGTGTGTGATTCATTCTGCCTCTCTCTTCTTTCTCCTCATGTGGGAGGTTAATTGGCAAGGCATATGGCTGCCTGGCTGTCCAAGCATGGTGCAAGCAGTGTTTAATTGCCTTTATTCTGACACACAAACATTGCAGAATACCTTCGCAGCAGAACATGCCAGGCAATTCCAGTTCCAGTGTGTAGATGACGTGGGCCAGGCATGAGAACACAGGTTTTTGTAAATGTAGAGAAAGGTTTTTGTCCATGTAGCTGCATTCCTACAAGAATGGTCATTTGGAACAACTGGTTTGTTTGTGTGGGTTTAGCTTGAGTCTTTCCCTGTGGTTTGTGAGCTTCTCTGTTAGCCTAGGAGCAAGGCATCTTACTTAAATAACTATTAACAGACTTAACACACTTAAGAGAGTTTTATAGGTATGGAAATGCCACTCATTTAAGATTTGTCAACCAGTAACTCCTCCTCCATTACTAACCCTTATTGTGTGTAAAAGGCTCAGATGTAATGTTAATGCTATTCCCTAAAATTAAACAAAACATTCTCATTTTCAAGAGACATGAAACACCTTGACATAAAGAACTTTGAGATGAATAAGGTCACAGGCCGAAGAGAGTAGCAAACGTCACTGACTTATGGCTTCTGGATGTTTCTTTTTAATTATAATAAATTTAAGTTCAGCTACTTACTCATCATCATTTATCATCTCCAGTGTAAAACACTGTAGTTTAACTTGTAACTTAACAGCTTAGCCATGTACAGTATTTGGCCAAACCAACAGTCTGGTATGAGCCAGTAAATGTAGATATCAAGCTGATCTTGTGTTCATTATCTCATGTCCTGCCAACCCAATCTCACATCAAAATGTATAATAGCTACTTTGGACCACAACACAAAAAAATACTAAGCTGCTTTCAGACATGCACTGCTACCCACGAATGTGCCGGCTATTTCACATTTACAGTAGGTGTTATGTCTGAATACAGAGCGCGGAGTCACATAGCTGGCAAAGTATTACTGGCAAATTTTCCTGATCAGACCTAGTCAAACAGTTGGCTATGTTCTTAGCAGCTACATTTCTAAAATGAAGTGGTCAAATTGGTGATAAGGATATGGTCAAGATTATGATAGTGCTGCAGTACAATACACGACATTCTGTTTCACTGCTTTATTCTCACTAATGTGCCACTTCCTGCCTTCACTCTGCTTTGACCACTGCTGTGCTGTCTCTCTCTTTCTCTCTCCCTCTCTAACTCTCATATGTTTTGGGTAGGCAGTGAAATGTATGCACAAATATAGAAAGAATATAACATCACTAGCTAGTACAAAGTTTATTTTGAATGGGTAGAGAACAGATTTGGTTTACAGCATGAGCTAATGCAAAATGGCTGGAAATTTGGCTGACATAGAAATCAAAGGACTGCTTATCCTCTGCTCAGAGGAATAACAGTGTGTCTGCCTCGAATGATGTTGGATATCATGTGAATGCTGAGGTTGTAGGAGGTTGTAGGTCCTGCTATGTTTGAACACAGTCTGGCCAGGAACGTCACGCACAGCAGCTTTATATTTGAATGGCAAAAAAGCAACTGCTACATAGCTACACATAGCCTACAAATTCATGGGTATTGTGTCTGAAAGAGGCTCTGGTCTCACAGCAACAGTTCGAAAATTCTGACATGGCGTTCTCTTTTTGCCTGTTCTTTTCTATTGGCCTGCACCCATGTCACCTGCATGTTGTTTCTGGCAATGAAAACAAAAGACAATGGCTGACATTCCTTATACATGGTTAAGTATACGCATAGAAACTACCTGGTTAAGGTTAGGGAAAGTCCATGGGTTGCACTAAAATACTCTCCAGTGAAAAGTATAATGTCTGCACATACCTTCAACAGACACGGGGCTGCAATACAAAAATACATACAATGTATTTACTTTATAACTATATTCAAATGGCAATTTTAAATGCAGTCACCAGTTATACCTGCATTAATCCCCTTGCATAAGGTTTTTCCTTCTATATTCTGAAAATTGTAAAAGTAATCCGGCAAGAGAGGCTGAAATTATATTATACAGGGTGGGCTACGGAAAAGTAGCCCGCCTCCAAAACGATCTACTTGCTCGTTCATACTATCAGCTACTTTTCCTTGGTCCACCCAAAACAAAAGACAATGGCTGACATTCCTTATACATGGTTAAGTATACGCATAGAAACTACCTGGTTAAGGTTAGGGAAAGTCCATGGGTTGCACTAAAATACTCTCCAGTGAAAAGTATAATGTCTGCACATACCTTCAACAGACACGGGGCTGCAATACAAAAATACATACAATGTATTTACTTTATAACTATATTCAAATGGCAATTTTAAATGCAGTCACCAGTTATACCTGCATTAATCCCCTTGCATAAGGTTTTTCCTTCTATATTCTGAAAATTGTAAAAGTAATCCGGCAAGAGAGGCTGAAATTATATTATACAGGGTGGGCTACGGAAAAGTAGCCCGCCTCCAAAACGATCTACTTGCTCGTTCATACTATCAGCTACTTTTCCGTGGCCCACCCTGTACTTTATTATTTTCTTAGCTACAGTGATTTTGTTGTATAATCAGAAAATCTTAAATATTTTAGTTTTTGCTCCTCTTGTTTTATCTCTCTTTACTTCTCCATTTCCATCAATGTAAGAACATTTTTTACTGTTTTATTTATGAATGCTCTCAGACCAGAACAGCATTCTCATAGTCCTCATACTCTCACTAAGGACTAACATAAGTTGTAGTAGTTATTCTTATTTATCTCAGTGGCGGGCCGTCAGGGCCAGAAAGGCCTTCTCTGCTGGCCTAAACACCATCAGAAGCACTGACCTACATTTACAACCTAAATTCTAATATTTGTTCCATCAAATTATATTAATTTATTCCCAACAGTCTATTTCCTAAATTTCATAGCATTTCTCTTGGCTGCACTGCTTCCAGTACGTGTATGTGGATGTTAGATTTTTTTGTCCAATCAGATTTCAGCCTCTATGTGTTGCCATGTCAATCTAATCTGCCCAGGGCCTTCAGAATCAGTAGTGCGGGCCGATGTAACTTAAACTACAATTGGACTGTTTCTTTAACCAATCAGATTTCAAATTCGCCTCACAGGGCCAGCTAGCTGGCCTACAATAACATCAGCATTTTTCTGTCCTCTGATTGGTTGGTCAGAGCAAAACTGTTACAGCCAAGTTCAACTAGCAAAACACATCTGTAGCAATCTGTCCACATTAATAAATTTGAGTTAGAATTTTTTATGCCCACAATGGCTGCAGGAGGAAGAGAAATTTGATTTGATTTGATTTATTCTTTCAAGCATGTAAAAACAGTTGATATGACAACACACATACACATAATCCAATATCAATTTGCTTATACCTAGTACATGCTTGAATGGAGTAGGAAGAAGTCAGACTTATCCAGTCCTACCCCATGACATCATCTTACCATCATTGGTTTGCAAGCAGTAAATGATTCACTTCTACCCACACAAAGTAATATACAAAAGAATTATTACAAAGTGTTAACATTCATACACCACACCCACAATGTTCCATCTAATTAATCATTAAACCTCTTCTTGCATATATCTTGATTGACACATACCTTTATATTTATGTTTAAACTCGTCAATTCTATTACTATTTTTTATGTCTACACTTAAATTATTCCATAGTTTTACCCCACTTATGGAAATACAAAATCTTTTTTTGGTTGTACGTATAGCATGAATTTTATAATTTAACTGACCCCTTAAATTGTATCCCCCTTCCCTTTCATTAAATAGTTTTTGAATTCCACCAGGTAATAAATTGTTCCTGGCTTTATACATAAACACAGACGTCTTATCAGTCAGTTAAAGCAGCAACGTCTATAAAGCCAAAATCCCAAATACTATACAACGTAACAAGCACTTCCCTGCTGC